CTCTTCATTTCAATCAACGAAACACTCATTAATTTTGAACACATTTTGTAAATATATTTTAAATAACAAATATAAAAAATATATAAAAATAAATGTCTCATTAATTATAATAATGTGACAAAATTAATGGTTTAGTCAAAATGCACGTGTGTTGTACACCATGTGTTGATTTTATTTATAAAGCTATTTGAATACCATTTTCACTTGTTTTCAAATTGCAATTTTAAGATAACAAAACCTGTTTTTAGATTTTAGTCATCTAATCCTAAATTTATAATTGTATTTAAAAATATTATACTTTGTACTATTATGCATGCAATTAAATAATTTGCTGAATAAGCTGTAATACTTTTAATTAAATTGCATAATAAAATAAAATAGTATTAAACAGATTATTAAACAAACAATAGAAACATTTACTGTTTGAATACTTGTGTACAATTATCAGCAACACATGGGAAATCACATGGTAGATCATTTTGAATAGATTTATTAGGAAATTAAAGTATTTGTTTAATCACATTTACCCTGATGATAAAGAGAAATGTGAAAAATAGCACATTAAAAGATTTATAAAAATATTTTAAGTGTTTACCACATAACTTTTCTAAACTGTAAAATAAATTTATAAATATTAATAATTTAATAAAATTTCGTGTATGTATTAAAAATATTTTTATATCACTTTTACCAAATGACATATTAAACAAATAAAAGATTAAACATGTTTTAATTTATTAGATAAAGCATATTTTTAATTGTATTACATGGATTATAAGTAATTAGTGCATTTACAGAAAAATGCAATGTTCAAAAAATGATAAACTTAATAGAGTATACGATTGTTACCAAATAAACCTATCAAGGATTAACAATAATGTTTAAAACATAATAAGTTATATGGATTGTGTTTAGTTATATGTTGGTATATTATTTTTAAATCAGAAATAACCGAGATGTTTAGCTTTTATTTTGTTACAATATTTATTTTATATTTCGCATTAAATACTGTGAATAGTATTGATGTGAACACCAGTATAGGAGTAGTGAGGGGTCGGACACTACATGTGTTGGACACAAATGTGGATCAATTTCTGGGCATTCCTTACGCCAAACCCCCGGTCGGCAAACATAGGTTCGCTAAACCCAAACCCATTACAAAGCCATTCCCCGTAAGTATTATATATTTAATTCAACTAAAGTTTAAGATAAATATATAATAAAATTATTATTTAAATAAATATCAATAGGATATAATTGATGCGACAAAACCCAAGCACTTATGTATACAGGGGTCGTCTGGACTACCTTTCCTTCCGGGCACTGTTCAGAGTGAGGACTGTCTGGTGCTTAACATATGGACAACAAATACCATAGCATTAAAGCCAGTGATGTTTTGGATACACGGAGGGAGTCTTAATGTGGGCTCAATATTTAACGAGTGGTTTAATGGCAGTGTTTTGGCCACACATGACGTGGTAATTGTCTCAACAAACTATAGGTTAGGACCGTTGGGTTTCCTATACGGGGATCGGGAGGACGCGCCCGGAAATGTCGGACTCTATGACCAGTTATTGGCTCTCAAATGGGTATTATTTAATTTATTTTTATTATAACTTTAATTTTTTTTAATAAATTAATGTTAACAATAGGTTAGAAAAAACATCCACTCATTTGGCGGAGATAGGGATCGGATCACTATATTTGGTGAGAGCGCCGGGAGTTGGTCGGTGTCCGCACACATACTCTCCCCGCTATCCAAAGGCCTATTCAAGAGGGCTATTATGCAAAGCGGTGCCCATATGTTCAATAAGGACAGGAATGTGTTTAACACAACCGAAGCCTTATCTCTGGCAAAATTTATAGCCAAAGACCAGAAATGCAATGAAACCGAGGATTGGATACAATGTCTGCAAAGAGTGAACGCAAAGAATTTTTTAAAATACGAAGTGTTTGACTATCAAGTAAAATACGACACATACCCGCTATTAGGTACAGATTTTCTACCTATTTCTGCCCGACAGGCCTTTAATGAAAAACGGTTTAATTCATGTATTTATAAACAAATTATAAAATTAAAATTAATTATTTTAAAAATACAAAAAGTTAAAAACGGAGAGAAATAAAGAAGGATGACGAATATGGGCTAAGCTGGCAACCGGGATTTGATAACATAAATAAAAAGTACATTGTATGAGGAGTCCAATTATATAATCTATATAGCCGACCGACCTCGGGTTCGGCGGTAGTGACCACTTTTATCGGAAAATTTTAACCTATGAAAAATTAACATATGAGATATGAGATCTATGTAGAATTTAACGTAAAATCAGAATATATTATTATTATTTGCATGGGACATATCGTTTTTGAAATCTTTTTAAAATTAAAAGATTATAATTTCAATTTTTATTATTTTGACGTTATTTATTGATAATTTTTTGAAATCTATATTTTATTTTTGAATTAGTACTAAAATAGAAGAAAATTATTAATTATAATGAATAATTATTTTCAAAGTTAAATTAAGTTTTTTGTAATAATGAAGCGATCTTTATCGAAAATTGATTTGGTTCAATCGGAGTCTGCCACCAGGGCTCCGATGGTTCCTCAACCTGCTACTGGTGAGGGGGAACATCCCCTCCCGATCCCGGGGCCGAAAGTGACGCCGATAACCCCAGCGATGAAGATGACTATTCACAACCTGGACATGAAATTAAATTATCATGTCCAGGTTGTGGGAATAAGCCTGGCCAAGGCGAACGTTATGGCTTATCAGGGCCACTCAAATTGGCCATAAGGCAATTTGTTCAATATAGACGTAAACGCTATTTGGAATGTATGGGTATAATATACAACCCAAGTATTACGCCTTCGGGAAAGTAATAGCATTTTTGTAATGAAAATTTTAAATTATATTTTTAATATGAAGCAATAAATTATTTTATATT